CCTCAGCGCGTCGAACGCTCAGATCATTCAAATCGTTCAAATCGCGCTGCTCTAATCGCGCTTGCCGACACTGATTGAAGCCCGTCCACCATAGACTTTGCATGTAAACCTGAGGCTCCTGATGCTGAAATCATGTTTGGTGTGAACACACCATAATTCTGATCACTATCCCGGCCCCTGCTGATGAAAAACATCCCCACGTCATGATGCTGACCCCACCGTGCTTCACTGTGAGGACGTGAGTTGTTTAGTTTACACGCTGTCGTCCACATTCACATCATCAACTCTGTAAAGCTCATCATGACTAATAAGACAAAAGTGTATTTTGATGTTAACTAAATCAATCATTATGTAGTCAATTCATTATTACTGTTCAAAACATTTAGGGAATATCTCCTTTCCTATGTTCTAATTATTTGCTGAAACAATTAATTACCTGATTTTAAACTGTTAATAATATAAACAGATAAAGTAAAGAAGAACCTGAAATAAAGGACTAAATGATTGGAAAAAAAAATCCAAAGAATAATTTCTTCATTTGCTAAATTTTTAAAAGCTTTTGATGCCTTTAAATGTAGGGATGTTGACATTTTATCAGCAGCTGCTGCCATTTTCTTCCCAAACTGCTGTGATCAGATTTTGCAAGGCTGCTCAGTGCGTTTGCTTGTAATTTCCTCCTGCTTCGTTATTTCTACGAATTTCAACAAATCGGGCTGCCGTCAGGTAGTTAGCTACAGCCTCGTCTTCGAGTTTTTAATTTTTGTTGATGCGTTTTGAAAAGACAATTTTTTGAAAAGAGGATCAAAGTAAATCACCCGAGTTTTTCTAGTGACCCCTTAAAGAGATAAGCTGCCATGAAGAACATTATTTTATCTGCCCTTCTTCCAAATTTGATAATGACTCGAAACGTCGAAGTATGTTTTTTTTTTTATCTGGAACATCGCTTGTTGCAAAGTGTTTTGACGCTCGTCTTCATCACTTGACACATTTAACACGCTGTCATTGGTTGAGGAGCTTTGTTTACAAAACACATGTCCACATGGTTTTTAAATTGTTTAAATTTCCTTACTTTCTAAGACACATTAAGTTGATTTGATGCTACAGTTTGCCTTGTAATGTTATTTTATACCTTTTCTGCTACTTTTGAATTAGCTATTATTAAGTTTTATTAGTGCCCTGTGATGGACTTGCGACCTGTCCAGGGTGTACCCCGCCCCTCGCACTGTGAC